TCAGGATGCGCTTGTGTGTGACATCCACCATCAAGATCTACCCTCTTTCCCTACACGACGCTCTTCCCACCCACCCCCAAGAAAGCCTAATTTTTACCATTCAGTACTAAAGCAATTTCAAGTTTCACAAATTATGCCAAAATGCAAAACGCTTAGCTTTGTCTCTAATAAAACCTCTGTCATCATTAATAATCACAGTTACCAGTAAAAATCTGTTTAAATAACATAAAGGTTAATAAGTGTCAGGTGAATGATGTTTTTTTTTTAAAATAAAGTGCTCATAAATGTTTTCATGTTGTTTAAAACTGAAAACTGAAGGGGAAAACAGCAAGTAGGCTAAGCTTCAGCATCACACTGACGACCAGGACGGGACCACCAGACTCCATTCAAAAATCTGCGAAATGTACCTGGACAGACCTGTGAGCAAGTACTAAGTACTTTTACTTTACTCCAGTTCTCGATCCTAGTTTGTGTGTGTCGGTGTGTAAGTGCGTGCTTGTTTGTTTTCTCTCACAGGAAATCTGGGAAACGTGACTGGAATTAAACACATCCACTTCCCACGGTAAAGATAACACATCACAGTCACGTCACAGCCGCAGCATAGCGAAACCTTCCGCTTTAATTCCACCGTTAGTGTTAGAGTGAGCGAGGCTGACCTCGTGAATGTGACCTTATCCCGAGTTGATAGGAGACATTAGGCTTGTTTATCCTGATGCTTTTATTCTGATGCTGCACACGTGTACATGTAAATACAGGTGAACTTCCGGATGTTGATCTTCGGTGTTTAGATTCAGGGTTCACTCAGGTGACTATCACAGGCACATGCTGTCGCTGACCTGCCGAGAATCCGTCTGAGTCCGCGCTTTTACGTCTCCAATATTGAAATAATATTTATTTAATATTTTTGCAGCATTGAATTAAAACTATGACTATGCAGCAGTGCTGGTGGAGGGTTCGGCTCATTTAACCTTCCACAATGTGAACAACTGTTCGCTCCGATCAGTTGACCCCATGTTATCATGTTAAAGCTTTGCTGTACCTGACACCATATTCATGTTCAGGTGTGCTGAGGTGACACTTGAGCTCAGGAGAGTTTCTGTCACATTAAATCAAACCTGAAGTCCAAACTTTATGCGCTGAGTTCACTGCTGCTCGGAAATTCCTCCTCTGCGTGTGGAAATAACCAATTAACTCCGCAAGTTCATTACTCCTCAATAAACCATTAACAGCCCCCCCAACCGAAACCTTCCGCTCTGATTGGTCCGAGCCCCGCTGACTGTGTATAAATGCAGGAGACTCAGCTGGAGACAGCAGACACACAGCACCTCCTCCTCCTGCTGCTTCATCTTTATCCTCAGTGTAAGGCACCAT